GGGGGGGGGGGGGGGGGGGGGGGGGCAGGTCTGTTTGCAGCATAAGGGGAGAGATTTCCAGGCGAGCCCGAGACAGCCCTGCCTCATCCCAGAGCCAAAAGGGGCAGGAAGAGGGCCGCCAGCAGGACCCCCCAACAGCCCCCCCCCCATCAGCTCACCTTCTTCCCGATCAGCTTCCTGCGCAGGAACTCCCTGGCCTCAAACATGTAGGGGATGTCGTAGAGAGGACGGAGCTTCCGGTTCTTGTCCTGGGGAAGGAGGGGCGGGGGTCTCACTGCATTTGGCCCAGCTGGCCGAACTCCCAGGCCCCCGACAGGGAAGCCCACGGACCCCACGGGCCCAGTCCCAGCAGAGGCCCCTAAGGCTGCCCCCCCACCCCACCCTGTTTGGGGCACAGCCTACTGCCCAAAGCCCCACCCCAGAAGCTGTTGAGGGGAGGGGGCAGTCCTGGGGCCAGGCCAGCTTCCCCACCACCCACGGCAGCCCAAAGCCCGTCTCTCCTTCGGGGCAGCAGCGTTTCTAAGCCTTTTGCTTTCTCTTTTGATGAGTGGATTGAAAGAGCAGGTCCCTCTCCTCAAAATAGCTGAGGATTATGGGTCACCCTCGTTTAGCGACCGCAAATCCATCCTTAAGCAAAGCAGTTGCTAATCGAAAGCCCAGCTACCTACCCACGATCTCATTTCAGCTCTGCAAAGCTTGTCAGTGGTTGATTTTTCATCACTGTGGTAATGGGGAACAGTCACGAAACGAGGAGTACGTGGAGTGGAAACCCCCCGGGGCAAAAAAACCCCAGGAGGTGGGGGCACGTTCGGGGGAGGAAGCCCCCCCCCCGAGCAGGTTAAGCAGCCCACTGGAGAAAACCGGAAGCCTCTTCGAAACCCCCAACTCAATATGGGACAACTCGATGGGGGTTGCAGGAGGGAACACGGGGAGGGGGGGGCAGGGAAGGCAGGAGGGGGCCCATTTTGAGTTCTTCAAGAACAGGAAAGGGAGCGGGGGGGGGGCGGGGGGCCCCCCCCCCGGCCGCCCGGGGGCCCCGGGGGGGGGGGGGGGGGGGCCCCGGGGGGGGGCGGAACTCCCGGGGGGGGGGGGGGCGGCTCCTTCCCATTTTGCTGCATAAGCCGCCTGACCGGAAAGCCTCGTGGGCAGCCTGCCAGGACTGGCCGGCCGGGCAGCTATCAAAACTGCAGCGCAAGGCCAGGTGCCCCAAAGGCAGCAGAGCGGAGGTGGCCGCCGAGTCCCCAAGGGCCCCTTCCCCAGCACCTGGGCGCCCTTGAAGAGGCTCCCTGCCCCCTCCCCTCCCCCGCCCAGCCCTGGGCTCTGCGCTGGGAGAGGGTTCACACAAGGTGAAGGTCCCCCCCGCCCGCCCGCCTGCTGAAGGCTCCTCTGGAGGGGGCTTCTCCGGGGGCCCTTCCCTCACTCGGCTGTTCGGCTGCATTTGGAGCCCCCCCTCTGTGGCTGCCTTGGGTCGCCCGCCAGGGCCAGGGGCTTGATCCAGCACAGCCCTAGCAGCCAGGCCCCCACCCTCTCCAGCAGCTCCCCAGAGTACAGTCGAGGGGCCCCCAAGGGACTCCGGTCGCCCCAAGAGGCCTCTTGGCTCGGCCTCCCCCCAGGGCCCGAGCAGCAAGGCCCGCTAAGCAGGGGGACACCGGCCCTCCTGCCCCACAGACGGAGGAGGGCTCCCTTGCGGGACAGAAGCCGCCCGCAGAGAGCGACCCGTGGGGCGGGCAGGTAAGGAAGAGGCTGCCCCTCCTTAGGTCTGTGTGGATGGAGACTCGGGCACCAGTTCGTATCTCTGCATGTAATTTGATAATTTCACAGACGATAAAACCACTCAATTAATCCTCCACCCCAGTCACACCAAGTAAAATCAATTAATTTGCATCTTGTTCCCACTTTATCCCACACCAGTAGCTGCTCCTCAATTACAATTAACCAAGGGGATTGGCTGTGCTAAAGTGACAAAATGTAGAAAAGAGGAACACTTCTCCCTCTCTCTGTCTCTCTCTCTCTCTCACACACACACACACACGCACACCCAGAAAAGGCCGAGTTTTGTACCAGGAAGGAGTTCTGGAATCTGACAGGATGTAAATCCCAAAGGAGCCTCCCTGCATAAATCCAGCACACATAATTAAAATATTGGGCTCACCCCAGATTAATTTCTGAACAAATCTTGCTCCTATTTCACCGATTCATTCACTACCGCATTTTATTTATTTATTAAGCACATTTATATGGCCATCCATCTTGGAAATAGGACTCTGGGTGGCTAACGAGAGATTAAACATAACGGAAATGCCTGGTACTTGCAGAGGGCCAACCCAGAGGAAACCAGGAACACCTCCAGGGGGTCATCTAGACTCCCCCCCAAACCCCCCCCGCCCTGGGGCATACCAAGAAGCTGGCCGGGTCGGGGCCAGACGCCAGGAGAGGGGGCCTATCTCCCTGGTGCCCCAAGAGGGAAGGGCACCGTGAGACGAGGTGCCCCTCCTGCCGGGAGGGAGGGGCCCCACAAAAGCCCAACCCAGGCCTCAGGGCCCTGGACAGGCGGCCACCTGCAACTGGGAAGCCAGCCAAGAGAGGAGAAAAGGGGGGAGCGCCAAAGGGCCTCCGCCCCCACTGCCTTGACAGGGAGGGCGGCCAGGGGCAACCCGGGGGCCGTGGGGTCCCCATCGCGGGACGGGGGCTGCTGCAAGGACCCCAGAGACAGCTTGTGGCTGGCCTACCTCTGGGCCATCCCCACTGGCCCCCCCATGCAGCTGAAGGAAGGGGGGGAGGCCTGGGAAGAGCCTCTCCCCCCCCAAACCCCACGATGTGGAGGGGCCAGGGCAGCCTCCCCACGTGCCTCCCCTGGTCAGCCGGCGAGGGAAAGGGAAGGCATCCCCGCTCCTTTGAGGGGGGGCCCTCCGGGCAGAGGAAGGCTTGGGGGCCCCCGGGGGGGTTCAGCGCAGGGGGCGTCAGCCAGATGAAATGCCCCCTGCACTGAACCAGCCACTCCGAGGAGCAGGAGAACCACCAGCCCCCCCAGCCAAGGCGGCTCTTCAATCCCTTCTGCAACTCCTGGGGGGCGGGGGGCACCTGGGGCCTGGATGTGGGGAGCAGAACCAGCCTCAGCTGAGCCCCAGCAGCAGGAGGGCCACGGCGCCCCCCCCCCTTCGTGGGCCCCCTCTGACCCACCCAGGAGGAGGGAGACGGCCGCCAATCTTCCTCTTCTGGAGCTGCCGCCAGCAGGATTTATGCTGGGCCTCGGAGCGCCTGTCAAGGGGAGCCATCCATCCAGGGTTGCCAGCCCCTGAGTCACAGGCGCTGCTGCCGCTGCCGCTGCCGCTGCTGCCGGGCCTGGGGCGGCTTCCCCTCCAGCGCATCTCCTGGGCTTGTCTCCCGCCCCACCCCAGCTTCACCCAGGCCACCGGTCTGCACTGACCTCCAGGCCAAGGGAGGGGGCAGGCCTGTCTTGCAAGCAGCCGCCTTCCCTCCCTCCCTTCCCAGCTGGGCACTGCAGAGGCCCCCCCCCCCCCCCCCCCGGCACCAGGGCCAGCCCCTTTTCCCAAGAGGAGCCCCGAGCCTGTCCTGCCCCCAAGAAGCCGGGGGTGGTGGGAGCTCTTTCGGCCTCTCCTTGCTGCCACGTGGGAATTCTGCCGGGGGGCCAGAAAGGCCTCTTGGCTCTTCCAAGCCCCTGCCGGCTTTGCCGCCCTGCCCTGGGACCTCGAAACACCCGCCTGCCCTTCCCAATCCCCTGGGCGCTGCCATTTGCCCCCTCCGGTCTGGATGGATCCTGATCTCCCCGGCTCCCCCAGGCAGCTTCTCCCTTCCCTGCCTTTGAGAGCCCCCCACCCCACCCCCCCAAAGCCAAGCAGGCCTGGGAGACGGGGCCTCGAATGCCGTGGGGGGGGGCATTTCCACGGGGACTTTGCCTGGGCTCTCTGGCCCCCAAGTCCTGGGGGCATGGTCCCCATTTCCCCTTCTGGCCGAGGGAAGCCTGGACCTGAAGCCCTCCCCGCCCTCAATGCCGCAGGTGGCGCCTTCCGCATCATTCAGCACCTCAATAAACCCAGTGAAGTCTCCCGCGGCCCCATCCGTCGCTCGCTCCTTTTCAGTCAACCCCTCTTAACCGACCAAGCTAAGCCAAGCGGCTGCCAGTGCAGCCTAGAAATTCTCCCACCAGCCCAACTTGGAAAACCTGGGCCAAAGCCTTGAGGTCCAGAGGCCACTGGGTTCTGGGGGGGGTCTAGAGGCATTTTAGGCCAATTTAAGGCAGCGATGCGGAGTTGTCCCCCCCCCCATACACTGCCGGGCACAGGGGCACCAGGGAGGGCATCAGGGCCGCCCTGGGAGCCTATGTCCCAGGTGGGCAGAGCTTCCCAGGCAAAGGGGGGGGGGGCATGGTCTTCCTGAAGGCCAGAAGCAGCGGGGGGGGGCAGGGCAGCTCCCCAGTGCAGACCCTATGCCCCCCCCGGAGAGCAGTCAGGGGTCCTGCTCGGGGGGGGGGCTCACAGGGCATGGAAGGGCCAGGGGCTTCAACCTCCCCCCCCTCCCCAGTGCCTCCCTTTAAGCCTGCATCACTCAGGCACGATGAGGCCACTTGGGCTGCTTCCCCCTTGATCTCCTCCTGCCCAGCCCCACAAGCGCTGCCCCCCCGCCCCCATGCTCCTCACTTGGGGTTCAGGCAAACTGAGAGGAGGGAGGAGGGAGGAGGAGGAGGAGGAGGGGGACCACCATGATCTACCAGAGCTGCCCCCATGAAGAGCAGAGCAGCACCTGTGCCCCCCCGCACCCCAAGACCTGCATCCACCCTGTGAGCTCTGAACCTGACCAGGGAGCCCCCGCCCCCCCCATGCAAGATAGGACTCCTCAGAGCCCCCCAGACCAGGGGATGTCTGTCTTTGCCCCACACCCTCCAACGATGGCTCCCCCGTCCCCACGCTTGGCCCTGGCAGGGTGAGGCCGCCCTCCTGCCTTCCTGCCTGGGGGGTGCAAGGTCTTGCCAGCCTGACCCCCACCCCTATGGTCTCAGCGGCCCCAGAAGGACGTGGGAGCAGCCTGGCCGAGAGGCAGGCCTTTCCTCCGAGGGGAGAGAGAGCGAAGGGGAGGGGGTGGGGGGAGGGCAGGCCAAAGTAGCAGCCAGGAGTAACTCTGCCCCCCCTCCCACCGCAGCCTCTGCAACGGGCGACGGCAGCAGAGGAGGGTCTGCAATGCCGCTGCTGCCGGGCTCCGAGGGAGGGTCCCTCCCAAGCCCCCTTGGCCA